GAAAAAGGCTGCTCAAAGTAGCAGAGTCTTGCTAGACGATTCCCTGTGACCTTGGAGCACACAGAGCGCGCGGAACCGCGTGCCTGCAGCAGGAAAGCCCAGCGTATGCTCGGGTTTTGCACAAGATGACTCTAATTCATGTCCCAAAACAGCCAGTGGGAAGTGTAGGGCTGCCTTTCCTGTGCTGCTGGGAGGCCTCCTTGCATGGGAGGGGACAAGGGCTTTGCCGTGAGGCGGGGGCTGCACCGGCAGCCCCATCGCGGTGACATYGCGGTGCCGTGGCAGTGCAATCGCGGTGCCATTGCGGTGTCGTGGCAGTGCCATGGTGGTGCCACGGCGGTGCCATTGCGGTGCCGTGGCGCGGCGGGACCCTTACCCACGCAGGAGGCGCATGTGGATGCCACCCAGCAGGGTGTCGCAGTGCTCCACCACGAGCCGGGGGGAGCTCCCGGGGGGGCCCCCCATGGTGAGCCTGGCGCGCGCCGTGACGTTCACCTCCACCGCGATGTCCAGGAAGCCCAGGAGGCTGCGCGGGGAGGAGAAACGTCAGAGCCATCGCGGGGGGACGGCCGGGGGACCGCTGGCCACGGGGCTCATCCGTCCCGGCTGCTGCAGGACACGTGGCCGCCCCGTCGGGGTGGTCACCGAGCCCCGATAGCAGTGAGCCAAGGGGCCCATCCGCCACATCCCACAGCGTGTGGGGACCCCCGGGRCGATGCAGCCCGGGCGCTGCCCCACACACCTCTTGGCGCTGATGGACGCCCGGGTGTAGAGGTTGAGGTGGACACCCACGCCGGGCAGCAGCCGCAGCGACACCCGCGGCAGCGTCAGCTCCACGATCCGCAGCCTGCAGCGCGCGGCGAGGGGACAGTCACGGGCGAGCACCACCATCCCCGTGTCCCTGCGCCACCATCCCYGTGTCCCCGCGTCTCCATGTCCCTGCGACCCGTGTCTCGCTGCCAGCCCACCCAGACAAGGAGCCCGGGAGCCGCCACAGCCGTGTGGCTCATTCCCTACTTTCCTTAGGGCCTTTAGCCTCTCGCTGCGGCTCCCACCTCTCCTCCCACCCGGCACCAGCACCCAGGCGTTAACACGGGGCACTCGGCAGCGGGTCGAGTGCTGGAGTGGGACCCCATGTGTGTCCCGTGTCCCCCCGCTCCTACAAACCTCCCCGCCGGGCCAGGACCCCTGCAGTAACGCGGGGCAGGGACAGTCCCAGCCGCGCGCCCAGCACAGCCGCCCGAGTCCCGCGGGAAGCGTGGCCACGTCCTTACCCCGAGAGCCCCTGCACGGTGCTGAGCAGACCTCCCTCGCCGAGGATGCCGAGGACGCCGTTGCCGCCCAGCAGCCCCCCGGSGCCCAGCAGCCCCCCGGCGCCCAGCAGCCCCCCGGCGCCCTGCGCCCCTCCGGCCGTCCCCGCTGCGGGGACGTCACGCGCGGCCACCGTTTGGCCAGGGGCAGCAGGGAGGCTCCTGGGGGCTCCTCCATAAGCGTCCTCAGCGCTTCCTGCACCGACGCCACCAGCCGCCCTGGCACCACTGCGCCCCAGCAGCCCCCCCAGCAGCCCCCCACTCGTGCCACCCAGCAAGCCCCCAGTGACACCACTGAGCAGCCCCCCGCCACCAAGCAGCCCCCCGCCGAGGCCACCGCCACCCAGGGCGCCTCCAGCGAGGCCACCGACGGCGCCGCCAGCGAGGCCACCAAGGCCACCGCCACCAAGGGCACCTCCGGTGAGGCCACCAAGGCTGCTCCCCAGGGGCAGGGCGCCCAGGGCACCTTGGAGAACGTTGCTGCGCTGCAAGGAGCCTGCAAGAGCTGGAGACATTGCATGGGGTTATAATAATAACAATAATAACAACAGCTCTGGTGTCAGGGATGTTTGCAGGTGACCTCTTGCTGTGTCACCTGCCAGTGTCACCCCCTGCCACCCCCATCCCGAGGGCTTTCCGCGGCAGCCCGTGCGCCCCGCTGCCCGCCCGCGCCGGGCTCGGTCTCACCGTCGCCGAGCAGGCCCTGGTCGATGCGCAGCACGGCGTCGTGGGGCTGCGCGCACAGCGGCGCCAGCAGCGCGCCGAGCGCGGCGAGGCTCAGCGCCGCTCGCATGCCGCCGGCTCCGCTCGGCTCGGCTCGGCTGGGCTCGGCTCGGCTCGGCTGGGCTCGGCGCGCCGCGCAGCACGAGGGCGGGCGCCCGCTGTGCCTGCAGGCAAGTTTTCAAGGCGGGTTTGGCTGCCCGCGGGCGACACGCTCCCGGGCCGCCCCGGGCGCTGCGACACCCTCGGCACGGCCCCGCGCGGCTGCCACTGTCCCCACCGCTGTCACCGCCGCTGCCGCCTGCGCCACGCGCTTCCCGCTGCCCCAAAGCCTGCTCGGCCGCTGCAAAGGCACGATTTAGCCTGGACATTAATGATCCATTTAGGGAGGCACTGCCGCATTTAAAGCTCCTCTAAAGTCTTTTCCTTCTCTCAGCAAAGCTCTTTGTGCTGTGTCCACTCTCTTGGGCCTGAGCCCAAAGCTTCTTTCCATCCTGCACCTGCCACCCCTGCATTCCCCACGGCCTTTCCTTGCTCACYGGGTGCGCTGGAGGGATCCGAGGTGACCCCATCCCGCTGCACCCTCCAACACACAGGGTCCCTCTTTACCTGGCTCCCTTGTGACCTGCAAAGCCCGACTCAGGGATGGGGGAGGCCCTGGGGCTGCCCACGGCCACCAGCCCCTTCAGGTCCCGCTCTGCTGCACACGGGCAGCGAGTCCTTATATAGCTGCACGGACACGGAAAAGAGCGACGGCGCCTGAATTGTACAAGTGGGACTAGCGGATGGGGGATCGCAAGCAGCGCGGTTGTGGTTTCTGCATCTTCCAACACAAACAGCGATTAGGGAGCGGGGCTGGCGTTGAGCAACAGGTCATCGGAGACGCCGCTATCAGCTGGGGCTGAGCCCGGTCCAGGAGGAGCCGGAGCCCTTGGGCCGCTGTGGGCCGCGGAGGAGCATTCTGGACTGCTGCTCCCCCAGGGCCGGCGCTCGCACAGGACCCTGCAGCCGGCTGCTCCCTGGGCATCCCTGCACATCCACAAGCCGTTTTCCAGGGGATGGGCTGCACGGTGGCTTTTCCTTGCTCCGGTTCGGGGATGCCGAGGGCACCGCTCTGCTCCCCCCGGCTGCCTCGGCCCTGCTCTCAAGCACTAGATGCTGGCACCCAACTTGCAGGACGTGCTGCCCGGCTCAGACCACCCGCCCGCGCGTGGGCCTGGGCGAGGGGACCCGCTCCAACCAGGAGCACGGCTCAAGCCGCAGGATCCGCCCGTGCCGGCCGGGCTGCCGGCCGAGCCCTGGGCCGCAGGGCGTCTCAGCTCCCGGAGGCTCCAGAGCCGCGCTGAGATCCGGCCCGGCCAGCCCGTACCCAGGACCCGCTCCAGCGCCCGCGCGGGACGGAGGGCGCACGCGGAGCCAGCTCCCGGCTCAAGGGCTCCTTTGTGCCCGCCCGTTCTGCACGGCTAATTCCCTGCAGAGATAACGCATCCCGGGCAGGCCGGCCCGGCCGGCACCGCTCACACCACGAGGGGCAGGTTGAGCCGGGCAGCGCGGGCCGGGCCCCACACACACCCTGCACCCCCCTCCCGGCACCTGCACCAAAGAGCTGCCCAGAGACTGAAATACTGAGACCAGCAAAGGTTTTATTGGCAAGGCGGCATCCTGCATGGTGAAACGAGCTCTGGCTCCAGACACTAAAATAGCCACAGAAAATCCTCCCTAAACGTGAATCGGGTGAACAACTTCCCCTACCCAGGCCTAGTCTACAGCAGAGCTCGTGGGACGGATGCGCAGCCACCCTCTCCGAGGGCAGGGGGTCCTGCAGGGATTCCTGCCTCCGCTGGAGCGGGCGGAGGCTCCTCTGGAAGCCGCTCTTTGAGGCTCTCTTTAGGCTATTTTGCGGCTCTGCGAGATCACGAAACCATCCTGCCAGGAAGAAGCAACAGAAAAGCAAACCATTTTTTCTCCTTTGGACTTTCAGCAGCTTCTCCCCGTCTCCTACCCAGCAGGTCTCACCCTGGGGCCACCGAGGCACAGGGACCTTCTAGAAAGGAGCCCGGCGGCAAGGGAGGGGACTCAGGGACACTGCRTGTCCCTGCGCAACGCGGGAAGGTTAAAAGAGGCAGGTTCTTACATCCACAATGTCCACGTTGGCATCCTCGAAGTCAATGTTGAAGATGTTGGGCAGCGGGATGCCCTCGCCAAGCACGTCTGCGGGAGCAGGGAGAAGAGGGTGAGAGGGAAGGGAAGGGAAGGGAA